TTTATATATTTCTTTCAATTTTATAGTGGTCTTTGGTAGATAATAAGAACGAATCCTATATTGAATCTTCTGCTCTTTTGTCACCATCTCGCCTCTGTTGAATCCTACTACCTGCCCTATCTCACAGCGCTATATTGTCGCTCCTCGCTCTCACTTTATGTGGCCAATTTCTCTCTCCATCCCCCCCTCCGTCCCGATGTGCCCCTCACTATCAGTCTTACAGACCGTCAGAAGGGTCGTTCGAACCCACTCGGTACCTCGACTCGGTGATTCAATTACTCGAATCACATCAGTTTAGCATGACATTCACTTGAGGATCCGTCTCTTGGCAACCCCAAAGGCGTCTCGACAGTGACGGAAAACTTGGCGAGAATGACATATAACAGTTGCCAGGCTAAGGCCTAAATCCTATGCTAAAGTTGAATTAGAGGGATATTAATGATTATAATGATGATTAAGATGGGGTTGATGACACTGATGATGAAAGGTTGCCTAGGATTTTGGTGAATTACTGGAAGATGGATCTCCGTTTTGCTGGTGTGATATTCCAGAGTCGTGAGTTAGGAAGAATGGCTAATGGCTCTATAAGTGACACTCAGTGGATTATACTCTCTTATGAATTTGGGCTCGAGGTAACAAACTTTACAGGCCAAATGTCCAGTCCCCTTTCTTCCATCAATTTGGCAATGTCTTGCTTTTAAGGATGAATGTATCGCCAACGTCATTCTTATCTCGATGCCGCAGAGGGGCTTGACGACAATGCCAAAGGAAGCAATTATCAAGAGGAGATTAGACCAATACTAATTGCGATAATGATAGTGATAAAACGCTGCTCCCAAGATTTGTGAAGCTCCCTATTTACGGTTACATCCAAGTTTCGAATAAAGAAGACATTTGGCTACTAGCGTAGGTTGTATTTTTTGATGGATTTGAGCTTAAGATACCACGAGTTATAGCCCTGACGTCCACTCCTGTTCCTTCCATCAAAGTAGTATTTTCTTGCATTTGAGGATCCATGTCTTGTCGAAGTCAATCTTCTCTCAATGCTGGAGAAAGACTTTTCAATTCTACGCAACAGTTGATTGAAAAGGATTTCTAAATTGGCCTCACCGGAGTCCGAAGGAGGAATGCCGTAGAATGAAGATTATTGGATTGTATGAAAAGTCTTCGGCTCACTATCCTATAAGTCCGATGAATTCTTGCTGAGTTTTTGTCTGTGCTATTGCGACAGATATCGTCATGGCAAAAAAACATACAAAATACAAATAGTTTATTTAGTACATATATTCTTGCTCCGACGACATCAGTCACAATAGGAAAAACGAAAACTCAGCACAGATCTGTCGCAGTCGCTGGGGTCTTCATTGCATGATCCATCAGTCTTTACTCCAAGACAATTTTCCTTTGGTTTCCGGTGGGCCAATTAATGAATTCTCATCACCCAACATTTTATGAAAATCGAAAACTTGACATTGTCAAAGCGTGGTCAAACAAATCTGATTGGATATAATGATTAGGTTGACGAGGATTATTATGATGATGATGATGATGAAATTTTGCTTGAATAACCGTAGATTCGAGGGACAGCCTCGTACTTTGAAGTAAGAAGGCCAATTCATGAATTCCTAACACCCAACTTTTTATGAATATTGAAAACTTGACACTGTCTAAACATGATCATACAAATCTGATTGGATATAATGATTAGGTTGACGATGATGATGATGATGATGATGATGATGATGAAATTTTGCTTCAATGACCGTAGATTCGAGGAACAGCCTCGAACTTTCGAAGTAAGTAGGACCGAGAGTCGTTACACTAGTCCCTTGGTGCTTTAAGATACCATCCGTAAACAACATTTACTAATGGACTTGGACGAGAGGTACCACTAGTCACAGCCTCGAATTTTAGTCGCCTTGTTCATTCTTTCCATAACGCATGCGCACACAGCCACCTTGCTAGCCGACTCTTGGGTTGACGACCCTAAATTCGGTGCCACCGGCCTGGGCTGGTTCCCTCGCTTTGTGTGTGGTCTGGCTACCGGCCAGGGGGCTATGAGGTACCACTCGACATGGAAAGGACGGCCTCAGTCTCGGGTTGCAAGTGTTTTGGTGATCATTAAATCTCAGACGACTCGGCAACACAATGTGGCAAACGCTTCTTCCAGCCCCGACAAGGCAGAACAGTACAGTACGGTTCACATGGCAACTGGGGCAAGAGATCCTCCGCCTACCTGCGGGCTATGCGGGGCAACGGTGTGAAGACGACATATGACCCTCGGTCTCCCCGCAACTGGCAGCAGCAGAGCACAAGTGTTTTGGGCAAGAATTTGTCTACCAAAACACGTTGCTAGCACTTATGCCGGGAGAAGTGCATGTCGCGTCTTATCAAAACAGTTCATGAGAGCGTTTTTACGAGCAAGCGCACAAAACTCGCCCAGTCTACACTTACGTTGACAACGCGGCCAGTACTGGCAAATCGTCTGTCTTGAGGGAAGATCAGATTTCCAAGCGTTCGGACCCAATTTGTTGAGGTACCTGATACCAAGTTTCTCATTCCATCTCGGCTGCCCCCTCCTTGCTGCTCCGTTTCTTTCCGCTTGTACAAACACGGTTTATGAATGCCTGTGTGTCTGTCTGTCTACATCTGTGTGTGTGTGTGTGTGTGTGTGCGTGTGTGTGAATGCAATATTGCCTGTGCAGTCTGACTGCGTTCTTCGAATGGAATGAAGAGAAATGGCACTAAATTTACTCTATTTCGTTGGGCTCGAATCCGGAAAGAACTGTTACGTCTGGAGTGGATCTGTGAATCGACCTAGCCCGGATCTCTTTGAACTTTTCACTGGGACTCGAACCTCTGACACGCCCTGGATCACATGTCGGTGGGGATTTTGTGTCAAGAGACGTGGGCGACTTCAATTCGTTGGCGCATTTTGACCCCTCGGACAACCATAAGCATGTGATTTATCCCAAATACCTTGCTAACAACTCTTGCTTGCTCACATCTGTCGGGATCAGGTGTGGAAATGGGCCCATTTCCGATAACATGGTACCTCCACTTGCATCAGTAACAAATCATAAGCCGAATGCATGTTACAAGCTGAAATTGTCTCAATCTAGTGAGCAGCTCTTCGGCAGCTACACGATACGAGCGGAATGGACAGAATTAATCACTTCGACCGAAACAAACCTTTCATTCATTGCAGCACTTCAATGACTATGAGTCCCTGTCATTGTACAATGTCTCAGTAGCTATGAAGAGATGTTGGAGTACCTTTCGTTTCGTTTGAAGAGGCCCCACAGGATACCGAAATTGGGATTTCTTGAAC